CATAAGGCGGCTAAACACTTTGATCCCGACTTCCTCTTCCACGCTAAAATAAGCTACATAGAAGTGTTAGCGAATCCCGTCTTCCGACTAGGGTATCAATGTCGATTTGCTGTACTACACTGGTTCGCAAAGCCATGAAGGTTGGGTACAAAGCCTTTCATTGTGAATAAGTACGCATTGAGTTGCGCATTTTTAGCATACGCCGCTCCAAAATTTGAATCGTTGAACACTTGATCTACCTGTAAAAAATGTGAGATGGATTGGGCTCAGAACTACTGTCAGATCGAGGGCTCCGCTGCTGCCGTATGGTTGCAGGTGGACGCCACGACATGTTGTAAACGAAGGAGGTATCCGAGACTAGCTGAGAACGCAGGTTAGTGGGAGGAAGCAAGGCATCAGATTCTGGTAGAAAGGGAATAAAAAGGATTATTTCATTCAGCTATCAAATAAACCTGCGAATGACTGTGGTGAAGCTAGCCAACTTCCGCCTTGAAGTACCAACTCAGCTTTGACAGGTATCCCGAAAAGCATTGAAATGAGCAACAACAACAAACCTTCGACAGAACAACCGAAGTGAGGGGCCCATGGCATTGACTGATCATCAAAGCAGGCTGGAGTGCATAAGCATCCGATGAGAATTGGAGGCTGATCGTTGTGCTGTTGTGGAGCGGCGCCATTGGATTTAAGCTTGTTGGGGGCCACATATATTGCATAGTGACAGTTAAGCTGTAATGATGATATTTCCACTCGTCCAGTTCGAGTTAATCGGCCGTCTGCTAATAGTCCGAATTCCTCTCCATGCTCTACTGGTTCTAGCACAAGGAAACGACTGTTTTCACTTTGCACAGACCCCGAATCGAACACGTCCAGAGGTTTGAGGGGCATAAAAGTTTTGGATATCTGCTCTCCGGTTTCTATGCAGGCTTGCTGCTTCCACTGAATTGTAAGAAGCTTTGGCGACAGCTTTTTGCCTGTAAATGAATTTATTTATTTATAATCTAAACGATTGAACAGCATAAGCACCAATGGAGCTAGAAATGTTAATCAAACGAGAGTGTACAACCTTATCAAATAGTACAAAGGACGTAATTTTAGTGGTAAAGCGCGCACTAACAACAGAATTGAATAGCATTATCAATTAGCGTTTACTTTTCCCACAACCAATTCTACGCATAAGGGTTTTGCAAGCTATGCATTTCCCGAATAGGGAGGTCTAAGCACTAAATCGCATGCATTTTAACGCAAACAAAGGTACTAAGGCCCTCGTAACCACATTAAATCCATTTTATAAAATGTTGTCTCGCATTTGTGTAGGTGCACTAAGTGACCCGTGGAGGTGCAGGA